ATGGCTCTTGAATGTCAGGGTGCCAAGAACTGTCTGGGAAGCCTGTTACAAATGTGCTGCCAAGCCCCACCCCCAGAAATTCTGACTCAGCAGATCTGGGGCAGAGCCCAGTAATCTGCATCTTTAATGAAAACTGCCAGATGTTTCCAATGCAGATAGGCTGCAGTCTGCGCTTGAGAGACTGGCCCATCAGTGGCTTCCAAGCCTTGCCGGCTGGCTATAAATTTCTTAGGCTCTACTCCTGGAGGTACAGACTCAGACAGGCACTCAACGCAGGGGCCCGGGTGATGGGACGCGGTGTGAGAAAACCACCTGTGTGGTAACATCCCATCTATTCAGCGGGGCAACGGACACTACGCGGCCCCAAGTTGACCTCCAACCCTCTGCTCCTCCAGCCACACGCCCCACAAGCTAACTCTTCACCTATCCCTTGGAAGCCCCTCCGGTTCCTCCTCTGCTCCTGTTTCCCCCTCCCTTCACAGCCTGTGTCAATTCCCCCCATCCTTTACGGAAGAAGCTCGAGCCCCGCCTAATGCAACCCCTCCCTCACCTCCTTTAACCATCATCTTGCCTCTTTATGAACTCCAATCCACACTACCTGTGCTGCTCTCATTTGGCAATGAATTATAACCTTCCTAGCATCCTTGATTAACTCTGTCAATGCTGGTTTTGCCTTCACACCTGGATTATCAGTGCTTTGAGAACAGGGACCAACTTTTTCTCTAGAAGACCTAGCACAATTACCTAATATTTAATGATTATTGATCCCAAACCTTCCCCGGAGGCAACTGCATCCAAAATGAGTTCATTCTAGTCAACAAGTGTTAATATGAAGTTTCTGTCCTAACATCCAGATACTTACTTAAAACCGCTACTCAACTGATTATTGCCTTATATTAGGCTGAATCACATCAAATTTCTGACGTTTATTTTTTCAAATATATTGTTACTTTCAACATACAAAAATGGCAATTTCACGGGGCTTAACCTAACACATCCAACTCACTGCAGCAAGCACAACGTCAGCCCAGTTGCAAATGTTAAAAAAGCAAAATTGGGTGGTGATGTGGGGTAGTTAACCCCATTGGCCATCCTCACGGCACATGAGTCACATAAGTCACAAAGAATATGGACACATGTATCCTAGATCTGAGTTGGTTCTAATTAAATAACAAGGAAAATAAAGTTACTATTCTTGCCCTGAAATTTCTTTTAGATTCTGTTCATATCGTAATTGTTTAATCTTGTAAAATATCCGTACTCAGTCTGGGAAGGCAGGAAAAAGAATGCTGGAATGAAATCACCTACTAAAGAGAAGAGCTTTTAAAAAGGGTGGGGGACCTCAGGCCTCTGATACAGGCAGCAAAGAAGGAATCATTATGAAAACCGCAACAACGTGGCCTAAGTAGTCCAAGCTTTCAACTCCCCATTAAATCCATAAAATGTAGAATACATTTTCTTACCCACATCCACTCAGGCTTGTAGCAGGTTAAAGAAAGGGGGTTGGATAAGGAATTGAGTCATTCTAATTTCCTAAAATACCTGACAGATACCAAGACTTTATTCTCTTAGTTTCACCACAAGAAAAGCATCTGGGCTGGAGCCTGTACATGCAACATGAATTTCTGATGAGCGGGCCGGCCCCGTGGCTTAGCGGTTAAGTGCATGCGCTCCGCTGCTGGTGGCCCGGGTTCGGATCTGTGCGTGCACCGACGCACCGCTTCTCCGGCCATGCTGAGGCCACGTCCCACATACAGCAACTAGAAGGATGTGCAACTATCACATACAACTATCTACTGGGGCTTTGGGGGGAAAAAAAGGAGGAGGATTGGCAATAGATGTTAGCTCAGAGCCGGTCTTCCTCAGCAAAAAGAGGAGGATTAGCATGGATGTTAGCTCAGGGCTGATCTTCCTCATAAAAAAAAAAATTTCTGATGAGTGACAATTTACAATGCACTTCGGTGACTAAGCTTCCACCATCATGCATGTATTTATTTCAGAGCTTTGACAAGTAATCTCCGGTGATTACCCACACACTCGTCCTGTGACGGGATAAGACTATGAATCAGAATGTTTACAGTGTTTTAAAGATAATGTCATGAGAGCTGACAGCGAACCTACAAATTCATCCTGGAGTCAGACCGCCTGGCTCGAAGGCAGCTCCATCATTTGTGAGCTGTGTGATCTTGGGCAAACTCACTCACTCCTTCCACAAATATTATGGAGCGTGGACTCATCCCAGGTGCTGGTCTAGGTACTGGGGATTAAATGGAGAACCAGGTAGTCATACTGCTGACAGACATGCTCTGAGCCTCTGTTTCCTCATCTGGAAAATGGGGATGCGAGAGTACCTACCTCATGGGATGGTTGGGAAGAATCAGATATAGTAATCCGTGTAAAGCCCTTAGAACAACCTCTGCCACACTGTAAGAGCTCACTAAATGTGAGATGCTGTTGCCACCACCACCATCATCATCATGGTGCGAGATTAAATTCAATATCATTACAAAACCAATCTAAGATCAAACTAAGGCTCCAGATCTGGCCTCTGCCTTACCCAAAAAATTATTTAAGAAACTGTGAGAAAAAGGAACACTGTGAAGACTATTATGGAAAGATGGAAAAATATTTCTCAGAATATTAAGTAAAAATATTTTTTAAAGATTCTATTACTAGCAGCAGTAGCAAATAATGTACATAGCACTTACTATGTACCAGGCTTTGCTTTAAGCTCTTCATATTTATAAATAAATAAGCTAATAGTCCCCAAACCCTATGAGGTATGTGACATTATGATCCTCATTTTACAAATGATGAAACTAAGGCACAGAGATGTTAGGTAATTTGCCGAAGGCCACACAGCCAATAAAATGGCAGAGCCAGGATTCAAGCACAGGCCGGCTGGCTCTAGGGTCTGTGTTCCTGATGTACCTGTCTGCTACAGCCTCATGGGGGCAGTGCTCTGAGTTGTGGCTGGATCGGTACCATGGCAACAGAAGAGGAAGGAGGGAGGCAGAGGTGGAGGGAGGTGCTCCCTTCCCTCTGTCATGCAGCTGATCGCTTCTTGGGCAGGAGGATGAGTACCACGCTTTAGTCAAGAGCATATGAGCATCAGTTCCACTCTTAGGTGTATACCCAAGAGAGCTGAAAGCCTACGTGCATACACAGACTTGTACACAAATGTTCACAGCAGCATTAATCATAATCGTCACTTGGGCCAGCCCAGTGGCTTAGCGGTTAAGTGCTCGCGCTCTGCTACTGCTGGCCCGGGTTCAGATCCCGGGCGCGCACCGACGCACTGCTTCTCTGGCCATGCTGAGGCCGCGTCCCACACACAGCAACTAGAAGGATGTGCAACTATGACATACAACTATCTATTGGGGCTTTGGGGGAAAAAAAAGGAGGAGGATTGGCAATAGATGTTAGCTCAGAGCCGGTCTTCCTCAGCAAAAAGAGGAGGATTAGCATGGATGTTAGCTCAGGGCTGATCTTCCTCACAAAAAAAAAAAAATCATAATCGTCACAAAGTGGCAACAATCCTGACGCCCATCAACTGATGAATGGATAAATGCATGAAACATCAGAAATGTGTAAGTCCACTCAAAAACATAAGCTAGATAATCCTATTAAAGTTATTTACACAGCATTAAACGTCATTCATAAGGTGAAACTGTACATAATAACCAAATATGGTACATATGGTATGTGTGTGTCTGTGTGTGTGTGTGTCTGTGTACACAAATACCCAAAAATCTAGTTAGTTACAGAGGAAACCAGTATGCAATGCTAAAAATGATTTTAGATTTAGGGAGGAAAAAACATCGCCTCAGCTGGTAGACAAATACCACGTGTGTAGTGACAGCATGGACTGCTTCCTCTACTGTCCATCTAATTGGATTTCTCTCTAAAAATCAATAAGCAAGTAAAACTAATTGGAAACGTCTGTCTCTTCCACTGAGTTAAATAGCACAAGTTGGTTCGCAGGTTGCTTTCCTGAAAATCGGATGTGGCACTTGAACAGAATGAAGAACAAATTCATTTTTTAAACAGCTCTTCAGAAACAACCTCATGTTCATTTCCCTCAATTGACCAGAGTAAAATTAATGTGTGACATGAGCTACACGAGTTAATTGAATTTTTCTTATTTGTCTCAAGGCAAACAAAACACATTTAATATGAGAAATTTTGTTCTGGAAAAATATCAAGCAAAAACTACTCTTTAAAAATTAACTTCACAATGTCAGTTTTGACTCTGAGGCAAAGAAAGGGTGAAGTAGCACTTTCTCTAACCGTTAAGGAAGTTACTCAGGTCGCGATGTAAAGCAAAAACAGCTCTGAGTTGGAAAGTGCTATTAAATGCTGGTAAAGTAGAAAATCTCCAAGGCAATCCTACAGTCATCTCTAGAAACACTTAGGTTACAATCTCATGAAGTGACTCACGTTAAAAACGTATTACAAGTAAAATCTAAGCCAAAAGGATTCCTCTATAAAGACTGCTCCATGTTTTCAAATAAGTCTCTTCAGGTTACCTATTAACTTCAGGTGACTACATAGTGCAAGAAAAATCTTGAGCTGTAATTACCTAGATCCTTCCCACTCGAGGATCCGCAGCACCAGGGAACAGGTTAGAAGGGCAGAATCTCAGGTCCCCCCAGACCCACGGTATCCATATTTATATTTCAACCGGATCCTCAGGGACGCTGTGTGAACACTAAGGTTTGAGACACACTGGTCTAGATGTTCTCTTCTGGTTACATCAGGAAAGGAATATAATGATGCAATTACATGGTTTGCTTTTCAACAAGCAGTACAGGCTTTTTTTTGGTCAGGTATCTCAACCATTAATATTAAAAGGAAAAATCGTGGTACACAGGAGCCACAAACAACCCTTAGCTATCAAGACATTTTCAGAAAGGCTCAGAAACAATCCAAATGGAATGTGTGAGAAGTGCTTCTCACCCAGTCCAGATTTATCAACAGTGAATAAAAACCATGTACGTACCTGCAAAATGCAGAGGTGCATCTTTATCCAGGGCAATCAGCGGAGGGTCGAGGAGCACTGCATTGTCGTTTTCTGTAACTATGCCATGATAAGTGGGCTCAAGCCACGGCTTGTGCTTGTTAACTGTGTTTACAAAAGAGAAAGAAAGGAAACAGACAAGGTTAGAATTACTATTTTAAACTCAACTGCTTTTGAAGACCTATATCTATCATTAAAATAATAAAACTCTCAGGGCCAGCCCTGCGGCATAGCAGTTAAGTGCTCAAGCTCTGCCTCAGTGGCCAGGGGTTCACAAGTTTGGATCCCGGGCGTGCACCCATGCACCACTTGTCAAGCCATGCTGTGATGGCGTCCCATATAAAATAGAGGAAGATGGGCAACAGATGTTAGCTCAGGGCTAATCTTCCACACACACACACACACACACACACACACACGAAGATTGGCAACAGATGTTATCTCAGGGCTAATCATCCTTACACACAAAAATAATAAAACTCTCATTAGTCTGGAAGGCAACACTTGTATCTGGAAGGCAACACTTGCATTCTTCGTTGCAAAGTTTGGTATCAAGACCCAAAGGGGATGAAACTCTTAAGTTCTAGAGTAAGTAATGCAGAAATTATCTGAGTCCACAAAGTAACTAGCAATAAGAAATAAATTGGTTTAGAAATTAAAAGAAGACTGATGGCTGTAGACAAATTCATACTCTTTTTTCAGCCTATCCCAGAAAAGTTACAAAGAAACATGTTATTTGTTTATGACAATAACAATACAATATTACATATTTAAAATTGACATTACAAACAGAAATACAAAGATGCAAAACAAATAAGATTTATAAATATAAAATTACAACTATAAGGTATTAAAAGAAAACTAAGTGCAAAATTTCTGAAAACAGTGTTTAAGAATAACACACTTGGGGTCAGGGTCCAGCTCCCCTCTATTATTCGATGTGTGACCTTGAGCCTGTAACTGACGTCTTAATCTCAATTTCCTCCTGTGTAAACCAGGGACACCCCCAAACTCCACAGGACTGGGGTGGATAATGGAAGAAGTGATGTTTTTCCTTCTCAATTGGGCACCAGAATGGCTACTTTTGTTTTTAAGGTAAGAACTGCTGTGCTGGCGTCCGCTTACCCCTTAGTTTCTATCCATTTTGTTTTCCCCGGGGCGTGGTTCCCAGGGGGTCTATTTGAGACCCTCTCCAAGTTATGTCCTCTGGCACATCTGGGCTCATTTCACAGCTGGAACCTTTTCATTTTCCCTTTATTCCACCTCATGAGCACTCACATTATAACCTCAGGACATGTATTAACCATGGAATGATTCAATTAAGTTGATCTGATTAAAAGGAATGGTGTAAAACTTTATTTCCAAGCAGTTGGTGCCTCTGTTGAATGAACTACCCAGATTCTTTTCCGTGAGTGTCAGTTCTAAAGTTAAATTTAAATGTTTAGGGGCTGGCCCCGTGGCTTAGTGGTTAAGTGCTCGCACTCCGCTACTGGTGGCCCAAGTTGGGATCCCAGGCGCGCACCGACGCACCACTTGTCCCGCCATGCTGAGGCGGCGTCCCACATATAGCAACTAGAAGCATGTGCAACTATGACATACAACTGTCTACTGGGGCTTTGGGGAGAAAAAGGGGAAAAAAAGGAGGAAGATTGGCAACAGATGTTAGCTCAGGGCTGGTCTTCCTCAGCAAAAAGAGGAAGATTGACATGGATGTTAGCTCAGGGCTGATCTTCCTCACACACACAAAAAAATTTAAATGTTTAACCATCTTTAATACAATGTTACCACGATGTGAAAACACTTTTTTTTGCTGTCACGTGATGCCCATTATGGGAGGACAGGAGGGCGTGAGGACCAGAGGCACCTGGGCCTCACCTGCATGTACTTCAACGGGGCGGGCGTGCTGGAGGACAGGTGTGCTCCCCTATGAAATCCTAGAGAAGTCATGTGAAGGCCCATGTCTGCAAGGGAGAAAAATCTACCATCTCTCTAACGATGCATGTACCAGGCATCTACGCATGCGCAGCAAACCAACAGCAAGTCCTTTGGCCTTCACTTTCAAAGTCAATCCAGACCCCCGGGGGGGCTGTTGTTTCATTGGTACAGAGTTCCGGTTGTGTAAGATGAAGAGAGTTCTAGGCATTGGCTGCACAACAATATGAATGAATGTACTTACTACTGAATTGTACACTTAAAGACGGTTACAATGGGAAATTTTATGTTCTGTATTTTACCACAATTTGTGAAAAATACAGACGCACACAAAATAAATCCAGTCGCAGCCATCTCCCCATCTCTGCTGCTCACCTAGACGATTACAAGAGCCGAGTGACCAACCTCATGCTTGCCCTCCTGCGTGCATCCTTCTCACGGCAGCTGGAGTGATTCTGCTCAACAGTGACCAGAACCTGTTTACATCAAAGTTATTGAGGACCCCAAACAGCTTTTGTTTACGTGAGATGGACTGATCGATCAATTAGTATTTACTGTACTGGAAATTAAAACCATGAAAAGTTTTAATATTTATTAATCATTTTAAAAAACAAACCTATTATAAGTTAACAAAAATAATATTTTATGCAAATAACTATATTTTTTAAAAACAAAGTTTACTAAGAAGCGTGGCAATGTTTTACGTTTTTGCAAGTCTTTTTACTGTCTGGCTTAACAGAAGACAGCCGGGTTTCTCATCCCTATGCCTGCAGTCAACATGCTGAATTAGGGGCTGGCCCCGTGGCGTAGTGGTTAAGTGCTCGAGCTCCACTGGTGGCGGTCCGGGTTCGGATCCTGGGCGCGCACCGAGGCACCACTTGTCAGGCCATGCTGTGGCGGTGTCCCATATAAAGTGGAGGAAGAGGGGCACAGATGTTAGCCCAGGGCCAGTCTTCCCCAGCAAAAAGAGGAGGATTGGCATGGATGTTAGCTCAGGGCTGATCTTCCTTTCACACACACAAAAAGAAACATGCCGAATTATTACACGTCATGCAGCCTCTAGAGAATGAGAACAAGGCAGGTAACATCTTATTAAACAGCTCTGATGGCTCAAACTCCCCAATAACAGTCTCAGGGGACTTGTCACCTCGCTTCAGGTCTCTGTCCAAACGTTCCCTCCTCAGCTAATCTCCCTCACTCGCACCTCCTCTTTTCCTTTTCTTCTGCTCCTCATCGCCACCCTGGGCAGAGAAAGGGCAGCAGTGCCAGCCCTGGACAGAGGGGCTGTCTTCCTCCCTGGGCCTCAGTTTCCTCATCCGTAAATGGGGAGAGCAACAGTACCCACCCTCATAGGTTGTTGTGTGACCAAACCAGCCATGTGTAAAATGCTGAGGACAGTGTCTGGTACTCAGTACATGCCACAAGATGCTGTTGTGTTGCTGTCACCTCTCCTCCACACACACACATACAAAAACACCGATTCCAGGAGGGCGTGTCCTTGTGTTCTCTGCTCATTCCCAGCACCCAGAACTGCGCTTAGCATCTCATTCCTCAGGAGCTATCTGGTAAACGAGGGAGTATATAAGGAACCGCAGATAGAGCACAAATAAAATCAGTGCCCTCGTTTGTAAATCCTCTCACAGAGAAGATAGTTTTGGTGCCGAGAATTGAAAACCAGGTATGATTTGGTGTTTTAGACACTGGGAGGGTGTTTTTTATTTTTTGTTTCTGGCAGATGCATGTTCTGGCAGGCAGACTAGAGAATCTGGAGGCATCTCATGCATCAAAATACTGAGGGATCTGTCTGGAAGGGTGAGCTATGGTTAGATTGTTGAGGGAACTAATATGAAACCAAACCCAGACCATCAAAACCAAAAATGTAAAGCGCCTTTGGAAAACACCTTCTTTCCTCATAAAAGCTGCTCCTGGGACAGGAGATTCGGTAAAGAAGAGAATTCAGATGGTTATGGTCCACCTGCTCTTCTCCTTCAGAAATACTCCCCAGGACAGTGGGCAGTTAACTGGCGGAGTGCTTTGCGCGAGCCTCACGGTGTGCTGCAGCCTTCGGTCTGGGAGCCTCCAGTGAGCACAGATATAAGTAACCTCACTTTGCACTCAGGTTGAATGTTTTACCTAATTGCTGAAACTCCCCACCCTCTCTCAACATCTCGTTAAACCATGCCATGACATATATGTTATACATCTGGAGTTACAGACGTTACACAGATAAACAGGCCATTCTAAAGCAAGTGCTCGAAAACCTTCATTGTTTGTCACTAATCTCTCATTTCAGAACACAGAAGCTATTCCATTTACTATTAACAATGTACCATTAACAGCAATACTTGATTCCAATGTGTTTTCATATTTAAGGTTTTATTAACAAAATTATAAGCATAGCAAATAAAACTGAAGATTATTCCAATATGTGAGTCCACAAAACTCCTGAGACTTAAACTAAGTGAATTTATTCATTTAACTCAGTAGGAATATAAAAACACTAGGCAAAGCAAACTGCAGAAAACCTGTGATGAGTAGTAGCATAAAGTGTGTGTTTCTGCTACTCTAATGGAGACGCCTGCAGATGAAAACGGCTAATGCTTCAAGGTGAAAAATAATGTTACAGCTATATTCCTAGTTCTTTTATTTTTTCCCAGTATTCTAATTTTATAATTCACAATTTCTAAATTGCTCCTTTAAGCTGGCAGTAGAATGAAGAGATGTGGCCAGTTCCAAAGACTGAACTTTTAAATATTTAATAAATGATATTTTTAATATTTCATCACATTCAATTGGCATTATAAAATATTTACAGGAACAAGCGACTGATGTTTCTGTAATCATCCTAAAAAATCACAAATAAAGACAAGAGACTACTGGCCATAAGACTAGGAACACGTCACCCATGTTGAGAGTCATTACCTGATTCATTTCATCACATTCTAGATCATAAAAAAAGCCAACTAAATTTTTAATTGCATGGTATTAATTAAAATCACAGAAAAGCAAAACTGGGGCTCAGACCTTCTGTACACGTACGCTGTATCCAGGCTACACGCCTATTATTTTAGGACACAGTTTTTGTGGTTGTGGTAGATTTTCATCATTAGAAATTGCCACTGACTTAATCAAGATGAAAAGAATACAGTAGTCAACTCCAGGGTTAACTTTAAATATAAAACTTATGC